CTCATAGTGTATATGCGTGCCAGTTCGGTCTTGTTAGCCTGGGAATAAGGGAATGGTTGTCTGAAAGATGTGAAACCTTGGGAGCTAAACCCGCAGTCCGTGAAAGTTGGTATTAGAGTGAGACTGCTCATTTGTGCATTATTGGTTGTGGGAGATCAATGACATGCATTCTTGCAAAGAAAAGACTTTGGGCTATGGATCTATTGACAATATGCAGAACACGATGAAAAAAAGCTGTGGAGAAAATAGATGCGAAGGGCGGGCGTTTGCACATGTGCCTATATGCTTTTCAAAGGGTTTCATAGAGCGCATATTGTAGGGGACATTGATTCAGATTGTATATTTTCCTAGACATGTTCTGAGGCGCTATGGCTGGAGTCGTACATCCGAGGAACTAATTCTTATGGGGCCATATGGTGAAGGTTGGTATTAGAGGTGGCATGTAAGAATTACTACAAGTTGATGTGTGAGGGAGTACTGTGTGAATGTCCATCCATGAGGAGAGCCCCTGTTATTCTTGCAATAAGAGTGACGCGTGTAGATGAGAAGCTCACTTTCCACTACGAGAACACAAACGAATTTTAATGGGTGAGAATGTCACGCAATGAGAATTCATCTCTCTTCATTTGGCACATCATTACCAACAGCTAGGCGTGTGACCTATTTTATCAAAAAGTACATTAATGATATGATCATAATCAGGTATTATCCTAACATCTTACTCATAGCGTGCTTGTGTGCTATTTGTTCGAGCTTGCCAACTTAAAAATAAGGGGAAGGCTGCCTTGAGGCACGAAACTTTTGGAGCCAAATCTAGTGTCCGTGAAACCAAATGTTGTTTTGACTTTTGCATGTATATGGTCAATTCTCCTCTATGTAACCTTGAATGCAATTGCATTGCCTTGGATGAACCTCGACCTCTCATGCTTGGCCTTTCAGGTCATGAGTTTGGACCTTCTAACTTAACTAGCAATTATGGTTGACCTCATACGAGCACAAGTGCAATAGTTTCTTCTTTGGATACATCACATAAAGTTTAAGCTGTTAAAGAGAATGATTTGCTTATTTACACGACGTTGGTGATGACCTATCTCGTCAATTTGATATACACAAACACTTATTGTCCATAAGAGGAATGTATCATTAAATATTCATTACTCACATAATAGTATGGATCAAACCCTAATCTTTAATCTTGGGATTGAGAAAATGGTCCCCATCCTAGCCAAAACATAATGGGGCCAACGTCAACTATGGTGCCCCATTGCCCCATGTGCTGAACATAATGATAAAATTTAAGAAAAAGAAAAATATAGAGCTTGTTAGTATATGAATTTAGGTAGTGATTTATATTTATAGACTACTTAGGTTTCTCTTTGGCATATAATCATTGGTTTTATTGGCCATCATCAGTCATTATGTGCCTTAAGAATTGGCCAAGTCACGTGGATGCAACCACTTTTGATGACTTTAAGAAAACTTTTGAAAAGTCAAAAGTTAATTTTGAGTCTCAGAAATTTCTTTTAAATATGTTTGAATAATTTTTCAAAATTACTTTATTTGACTAGAAAAACTTTTAATGAAATTGATATAAGTTGACTTACTTAGAAAAGTAGAAGCAAAAATAGAAGTCATATCAAAGACGTTCTAAGATCATTTAATAGAAGCCTACTTTTTGTCTAGGTTTATTTACTAGACAATGGTTAAAGTATCATCCACAGTTCATAAATTTTATCATACGTATGTCTTTTTTTGTTTTACGTGAAATTTTTTCTCAATTAATCGTGAGCGTTGTCATTGAGTCGAGTTCTTGTAGCATCTTTGTTAGAAGCAACGGATGTTTAGGTGGGGTTAGTGGCCAAAAATGTCTTGTTTCTTTTAACTGTGTGATAAAGGCAAGTGCTATGGCTTTTGGTTTTGGTACGATATGGTTGACCTAATGTTGGATGTCCAGCAATAGTTACTTTTTGCATAACACTGCCAAACGTGAGAATTGATGTAATACCAAGAACGCGTCTCATATTTCATTTATTGACGTGACCTGACAAATTCGGTTGATTGAGAACTTCAATTTGATATAAAAGATTGAATAATATAAGAGTTATCGAGCTCGGAAAATAAAAAAAGAGGAAGTGTTAGTGAACTCACGTCTCTGGTAAGTTAATTGTTAGTGTTGTCAAGCTGTACACAACTAATTCCGTAAGAGGCCAAGTGGCAAAAGTTGGGAGTATTGTCAAGATGTATATTTTAACATATCTTATATCGTACAAAACTTGATCAAAATCGAGCACAACACTAATGTTTAGAGCTTGGTAAAGACCAATATAGCTTATAAAATGACTTCACATTCCAACAAAACAAGACTCGTTTAGAAATTTCGAGTGATCATATCATACATGATAGAGAGTATAACATGACCAACGAAAGGGATTGGAATTTTCTACCTGAACGAGGTGCCTGGGTGATTTACAGGCGATTTTCGAACTGGTCCACCCTGATTATATAGTTATTTTAAAGAATAAATTCAAAATTTGTTTAAAAACGATTTAGCTCAACTTTTTTTATGACCAAACTTGTGCCGATTACTCAAACCGATTAGCACAATTCCCAAATTATCGTCAAAAAATTATTACAACCGCGGCAATATACCGGAGGCGGACCTGCCCCGGACCCCACATTGGCTTAATCAAGGGTTCAGGGCAGGAAAATCCCCCAATCCCTACCCACCCGTTGCTACCCCTAATTATAGTTTTACTCAAAGTCAATTTTCCCCAGGATAAATATTTCATCAGGCAAAACCCAATCGACACTCTTGGGCCACGTTTAAATGGTAGTGGGCTTCTAGATTAGGCCTATTGGAATCATCCTGAAAGCCACCACGACATTGGGCTTCAATGAATTCCCTTTGGATAACACTGCCTATCAGTGTTACCATCAACAAGGAGATTTTTTTGACTTCTCAAAGAAGCTTATTTCCTTCACTATGGTTTCCTTCAAATGACGAGTTTGATGTGTTGGCTGGGTTTATTACGCTAATAATCATTAAAAATATTTTTGACGAATAATCACTAAGTTTCTAACTGTTACACTAATGGTCACTGGTTAAAAAAATAACATTTAAGTCCTTCATGTCACTGTTAAATGTCAATGTGTCAACGGGCGACATTATTTATTACGTCCAACTAACAAAATTGAGGAATTAGGGTTTGGGGATTAAACATTATGCATCTTTATTTTTGATCAGATTTTTGACTTAAGTCATATAGTAAATTCACATTTTTAACATCGTGATGAAAGGACGTTTGATTAAGGACCCTAGATGGCTATAAACTTATTGAGGATAAACAACGTTGTTACCACCAAACTTAACACCGGGGTGCAAGCAATCATATTTAGGCCTTTCAGCTACCCCCCCTGCCCTGCGTCTAGCTAACAACCATACTTCAATTTTGGGAAAACTAAATTATTACTCCTCAACGTCTAGATAATTACAAACCTGGTCCTCACCTTAAGTTTTTTTGATAGAATCATCTCGAACCCATTAGATTTTTTTTTTTTTGTCGAAGTTAGTCCTAAACACGTGTTTTCCATCATTTAAGACGTCAACTACATACATGTGCATATAGTAAATGTCCAAATAGACACGAAACAAACTTGGGACCAAGGGTGCCAAAAAAATAGTAGATTAGCCTCCTTTTGATTGTTAATTTATAAACGATTTATAAATTCGGTCAAATTCAAACATCAGTTTCGATTCTCGTTCATAATTACTAATCATTTATAAATGATTTATAAATTTTGTCAAACGAAGGCTAACTTGTGAAGGTGATGTTGGATAGTTTCTAAAATGAAGAAAATTTGATGATAATATAATGAAACTAAATGTCAATTAAACCAAATAAGTATTGCATGTAACACTCGTTAATACTTTAAAAAATACTTAAATACTTTTGCTTATTAAGAGCTTGTTTGGGAAGGATTAGAATTGGATTAGAATTGAAAAACTAGCCGTTATTGTTGACTTTTATTAGACGGGTGGGACCCAATAATGACTATATTTTTAATTTTAATTGGATTAAAATCATTCACAAACAAGCCCTAAACATTTTCTAGTAAAATGGCTAACATTCGTTAGATCATCTACCGAGATGACTCTGCTTGCTCACCGTCAGGCTTGGCTCAATCCAATCGAATTAAGCAAATTATATATATAAAATACGATTTTGCTAGTGGTACATCACCATATACATAGGGGTGTACACCCCCCTCACATGGGGGTGGGATCCGCTTGAATAAAAAAATATTTTATACAAGTGAATCACACCTCCATGTGAGGGGGTGTACACCGTTATGTACATTTTTTTATGTATAAGTAGAATTAATCTATAAAATAAAGTGAAAAATGGCAGTGAAGCGCAATGAAGAATAGGATTCCAATCCAACGGTTCATCTAAAAAGGATATAATTTGAAGCTTTCTTAATCCATTAAAATTGAGATGTGACAAATGGAAAACTTTGGTTTTAAAGCAAATCTACACAAGTAACATCCAAAGATTTCTCCAGTGTCTTTACTGTGAGATTCAAACACCGCCAAACGAAAGAACCAATCAATCAAATTGGAAATTGAATTGAAGTGACAACAAAAAAGAATCACAATGCATTGGTAATTCCCCATCGATGGTAAAGAAAGGTTAATTGCTATAGGGGTGGGTAGGTTTGGGGGGTGTGTGGGTCCCAAGCCCAACTCAGTAGTCTCGAAATGCTGTACACTGTTCATGGTGGTGACTGATAACAAGAAATGACTGATTCTTAAATTACTTTATGAAAACCTGCCGAACCTTTTCATGAATTTGGTACATTTTTCCATTTTTGGAAACAATGGTCATTGAAACCCTTTAATAGCATCCCTTCTTCATCTTCATATCTTTCATCTCTTTGTGTTCTTCAGTATCTTATCACCATTTTAGAAAATCCATTTCTAGAGAGAGAGAAGGGAAAAAATGGCTCGTGGGAAGATCCAGATCAAGAGAATAGAGAACCAAACAAACAGGCAGGTGACTTATTCCAAGAGAAGAAATGGGCTCTTCAAGAAAGCTCATGAACTCACTGTTCTTTGTGATGCTGAGGTTTCAATTATCATGATCTCCAGTACTCAGAAGATCCATGAATATATTAGCCCTACAAGCACGTATGCTTCTTTCCCTCTCTATCTCTCTCTAAAAACGCTCAGATTTTGTTTATTTTCATTGTAAATCAAAGCATGGTAAATCATTAAAAGTTTTTATTTCTGTATGTATTTAGGACAAAGCAGCTGTTTGATCGGTATCAGAAGGTTGCTGGGGTCGATCTTTGGATCACCCACTACGAGGTTTTTCTCATTTTCACACACACATATACACAAGTTTGTGTGACCGCAAGCGCTTTTTTTCTCTTTTTCTCTTTGAACAATGCTCCAAAAGATTGCATATACGTTTTAGTGATGAATTTTTTTTTTGCAGAAAATGCAAGAGAACTTGAGGAAGCTGAAGGATATTAATAAGAATCTTCGAAGCCAGATTAGGTAACAGATTAACTTCTTTCTTACGGATCTTTATTCTAGTTTTTTTTTTTACTTTTTTTTTTTTTGGGTGTGTGTATTGTCAGGCAAAGAATGGGAGAGAGCTTAAATGATCTAAACTACGATCAAATCGTTAACCTTGTTGAAGATGTGGATGATTCTCTGGGGAAGATTCGTGACAGAAAGGTTTTCTTACTTTAATTTCTCTGTTGATTATTACTTTCATTTCAAGATCCTTCTTTTCCTACCTATTTTGCATAAATACATGATTTTCTCGCTTTTGATGTAATTAAATGACAGTACAAAGTGATTGACAACCAGATCCAGACTAGCAAGAAAAAGGTATCATTCTTAAAATTTTGTGGTTTCAAAAATTCCATATATGTGTGAGTCTTTGTGATGAACAGAATCATTTTCTGGGTTTTTTTTTTGCAGTTAAGAAATGTTGAAGAAATTCACAGAAATATACTACTGGAATTTGTAAGCACCTAATATTAGCATTCTTTCAGTAGATTTAGCAATAAATCGAAGGCAGCACGACTCCGAATTTATTGGGAATGAGATTCATAAACTTGGTACTATTTTTTTTTAATTTCTAGGATGCAAGACAGGAGGATCCACATTATGGATTAGTTGATAATGAAGTGGATTATAATTCGGTTCTTGGATTTCCCAATGGAGGCCCTCGCATATTTGCTTTACGTCTCCCGTCTAATCATCACCCTAATCTTCACAGTGGAGGAGGCTCAGATCTTACGACATTTGCTTTGCTCGAGTGAGTACTTGAAGCAACTAAGTATTAATGCTATAGACTTT